AGGCGCTCCAGGGACTGCGCCAGGTTCCCCATGCCGGTGCGGTTTTGGGGGTCCGAGTAGTTGCCTGGCGAGGAAATCTGGCTCGAACACCTCCCCGGCCGGTTTTTCGGCGAGAGCGCATAGAGCGAACTTGGCGTTGAGTTGGCTTTTCTTGGTTCAAACAAAAGCCTGGGAACCTCCTTTCAATATTTGGCTGTGGGGCAAAACCAACGGTACCATTTTGGGGTAGGTGCACCACCCATTTTAGTCTATTTTAGTGGGAATTGGGATGTTCACTGGGGGTATGATTTAGGCTTTTGGCTTTTGACCCATGGCCATTCGGATTTCAGCGGATTGTTGGAGTGTCAGCCATCAGGATCCCTCAGAACAGTTTCGAGCCGCCCTTCTATTTGAACCTTGAACTCTTCAGGCTTCCTTCAGGGTCCCGGTAGAGTTTCTCCTCAGCCCAGTGACGGGAAAGAAGGGCGCCCTTTTGGCTGCTTTTTGGAACAAAGGCGCACTGGAGGTCTGGGTTTCCAAGGTTTAAAACGGTCAACTCTGCGTTCAGAGCTTTATTGACGTTTTTTGCGAGGCAAGGAACTCCAAACTTCCCGACTGGTATGGCAAAACCTTGGTTGACGTTGGAAGGGGAGCAACAATTTAATTGTTAGCAGCTAAGTGGGAATTTCCCACTAAACCACAACAAGCAACCATGTGAAATGTTTCCAACAACAACAACCACGAAACACCCTCACTACAAAGAATCAGAACCAAAAAGGTCAACTTTAAGAACGCCAGGAACAGTAAAGAACCAGGCAACAGAAGCCGCTCGGCCCATGACTCTGACCAGCTCAAATGGCTGGCCCTTTACCCACGAAAAGTGGCAAGGTGACCAGGTGCACAGGTACAATAAGGATGTCTGCATTTCAACAGGCGGTCAGAGGGGCCAATAGGCAGACCCTGCGGCTTTTCTCATGGAACCTTGGTTTGGACAACTCTCACCTAAAACTAGGGTTATCATTGTACCTGCCGGTAGTCAAGGTCAGAAACTGAATCTTATGTGACACTCAGAGTGAAATTTCAACATCACGAGCCAAGAAGTTGGAATGGGGGTGCATTTGGATTCCAAGTGCTTACATGGTTCTGAAACAAGAGAAATGCAGGTCATTCCCAAGACTTTCTCACTTTCAGATTCCCTACAGTGGCAATTGTTTCACCGCCATAGGAGATCCTTGGAGTTCCATGGGCAGTTCACCGCCGCTCCAAGGCGATTCTCAGATTCAGCTCAGCTTGGAGTTGGGAAGCTGCAGAGGTGTCCCTTTCAAGAGTGGCTCAATGGGAACTTCCCTGGTGGCTTGCCTTTCAATGCGAAAAAACAAATGCCGTTTAACACAAGAGGCGTTTTCCCCTTATGGTGGTCGAAAAGAGACTCCGACATAGGGCCACTTGGGCAACCCTTGGGTGGACATTTGGGATTGTCCAAACATTGAGGTGGTTCCAACTCAAGCTAAGGACCTGGAGCACAAAGATCACGGCCTCGTAACTCGGCCCACGACTTTCAGCTGAAACCAGGCATGGTTGTTGCTCATGGTTGATGTTGTCAACTTTACCACAAGAACCCTGGTGGCCGCTTTTCGGAAGTCCAAGAATTAAAGCTAAAGCTCTTGAGCCATGGTCAAACATCGTCATTCCCACAGTTGACCATGCCTTAAACTTGGGGAACCCGCACATGTGTTTTTCTTTGGATCCCCTTCAAAGGAAAAATGGGTGCCCTCAACAAAAAAGGCAAGACACCTCCCGCTCTCTTGCCTTCCGGGTTGGGGATCCGGTTCGTTTGGTTCGCATCCGCCGCCATCACGTTGGTGACCTCTGGAAGCAGTCAAGGAAGCACTTGGGGTGATGCCCAAATGGCCGCGCCGTTTGTAAATCAAAGGTGACATTCCCAAGAGCTCGCTTCTACAAACCCAGGTCTTGTTTGGGGGGCCTTCGCTCGCAAGTTGTTCCATTCGCTTCACGCTGCACCTGAGCATATTAGGACTTGGACATCCCTTCTTGGAGACTCCTGCGAAGTTTCTGAAGTGCTGGTGTTCTTCTGTGGAGAATCGGAAACGAATGCGGCGGCCTGGAGGATTGTCAATGGCCCTTCTTGGAACCCGATCAAGTCGTATGCGCCGGCTTCAAAAGGAGGGGGGCACAAACTCATGTTGCCATATGCGAGGTACGCGCAGAATTACATGTTAGGAGTCCACCTGATTTTCGTGGGGACTCCGGGTTGTTCCGCTGTGTCCTCAAGCCAACGGAAACCAATAGGATTGTACGTGGCTCATGCAAGGTTCTCCTTTTGGCTGCTTGATTGGGGCCAGGGTCTCGTCGTTGATATTCTATTTGATTTGCTGCGGATTGTTTGGAGAAATGTTTAACCAGGGTTTCAACCATCCCCTTCCAATCCTGATAAACGTGCCGAACAAGGACAGTCCCGAAGTGGCAATCGAACCGGTGAAACCAGAAGGCCATATAGAATGACACTGGAAACATGTCTCCTTGAAGGGTTCCCAGCCGGGTGCCGCACCAACTACCGCGAAACTCGGCCCAGGCGCCAGGTTGTGCAAACTCTGGTTCACCCTCGTCCAGTTCGATTGGTTCCTGACGTGCGAAAGGCCATGGGCGCGCTGTTCGGGGGACGCATGGTGACTTTCTTTATAACTTTTCAAGGATACCCTCCAACAAACACCATGGTGGGGAATCACCTTTCGCGTTGCAAAGTCTCCAATCTCAGAGCCCAAACTTAGCCCAAACTCACCAAGGCGACCTATTTGCTGGTAGGCGAACATTGAAGGACACCCCTTTAAGGGCCTTGAGCATTGAAACTGCTGAGATCTCCTGCCTTCGGGTTGCGAGGACTAACGACAAGAGGCACCCAATGGTTTGCTCTGAATTCCAGGCTCAATCTTTCCATCGGCCCAATGTAGACTGATACAAGTAAGGTCCGGCAGAGCCGGGGGGCGGAAGTTTCAAAGCAGTGAACAACTATAGTTTGGAGAACTGTCCTTGGCCCCTTGCTCTCTCTCTCTCTCTCTTTTTCTCTCTTTCTCTCTTTCTCTCTTTCTCTCTTTCTCTTTCTCTTTCTCTTTCTCTTTCTGTTTCTCTGTCTCTTCTCTCTCTCTCTCTCTCTCTCTTTCTCTCTCTCTCTCTCTCTCTCTCTCTCTCTCTCTCTCTTTCTTCTCTTTCCCTTTCCAAAGCTCCCAACGAGCGCTTCAAGTTCAACTCTCCTCCCTCCCCCCCGGTGGTGTAGGAACCTTCAGAGCCCTGTGACTGTGACACCATGTGACAAAAAGGAACAAGTCTTACAACAAGCCTCACCAAAGCGGCCCCATCTTTTCTACTCCGGGCCCTCTGCTCCGCACGCTCGTAGGCACGCTGGCCGAAGCGCCAAGCGCGTCCGTCGGTGCCAACATCCGTGCTGACACGTCGCGCGCGTCGCCGGCCGAAGCGCCAAGCGACGACTACGCCTGCGTGACATCACGTCGCAGGTGGCAGCTGCCTGCGGCCCAAGATGAGTTCCCACGCAAGTCGTCCGTGCTCTGAAGACATGCGCGCGACTTCGCGAACTTTGCTGAACATGATCCACTGCCTGCACGTCTCCACGCCACTGATGCTCAGACGATCGCACTGCCGCTGAGCCGCTGTGTCCGACACGCCGGGCCCATGGATTGTGTCCCAGCACCGCTCGCACACACCTGTGCGCTCCAGCTCGCGTCTGCCTGGCTCTGTTTGCCACCTGTCGTCGGCTATGGCTTTCGTGCACGCCACGCATTCCTGCGAAGCCAAGCGCTCGGGCACGCTTAGGTTTCTCCTGTACACGTCCTTCAGCGCATTCAGCGCGTCGCCGCTGATGCTCACGAAAGTCGCCATGTCAACGCCGGCCGAAACGCCAAGCGCGGAGACTGCCTGCTATGGCGCGGAGCGGCCGGCCGAAACGCCAAGCCTGCTCCTAACACGTAATGGCCGTGTGACTCGCTGTGGCAAACTTGCTGTGCCGTGGAAAACAGCTCTTTAGTGACAAGATGTTGCGCTGCGTGTGTGCGTGTGTGATGTGTGGGTGTGCGTGTGTGTAAACATAAGCCCAAGTCACAGTAGTAACTGATTTTGAGCCGTTCAAAAAGCAACGACGGCGTTTGGCTGCTGAGCGAACAAAAAACACGGCACCCGTCAATCACAGCCCTCTTGTGTCCCACAAATGAGGCCTTAATAAGGCCTTACTAGGGTGGGGTTCCTTTGGCTTCCCCTTACAACCAACCAAAAAAAAAACAGGCATCAGACTTCACAAAATGGGTGGTGCCCCCTTCTCGTTTCCCGAAAAGAGTGGTTTTCCGTTGGGTTCCCTTTAAAACCGAGCCAAAAAAACAAAAACGGGCACCGAGCCCTGCAAAATGGTGGTCTCCCTTCAAAAAGCCACAAAAACAAATGGGCACCGGACCTCCCAAAATGGACCTTCCGAGGTCTGTTAAGGACAGCAAAGGCAAAAAGAGGTGAGCTCCAGGGGTTGCATCGTGGCTTTTGTCCCACGCGCAAAAGTGGTTGATCCTTCGCCCTTTTAGAAACAAAACCCTTATCAGCGCATTGCTTCTTAATCAAAGAACAAAAAGGCCATACTGGACAAGCTGAACAACACGAAGCCGCTAAAATCTCCCCAGCTCCGTCTCCCGCCCCGCCCCCGCAAAAGCCAGCCTTATTTCTCCGGCGAGCTTGGTCTGTGCGCCGCTGCTCGCGGCCCGAAACGGCACGCGAGCGTTGCGGCTGGTCGTCACTGCTTGCTGGCGCAGCAACTACGCGGCCCGAAACGGCACGCGCAGCGCTACGCTCATGCTTTGGAGTCTCCCGTCCTTGCGCGCTCCAGCAGCCGCTGGAGCGACTCATGCAGGTCCCGCATATACTTCTCTGCTCGCATGCACCACTTCACTTCCTGCGCAGAGAAGTTTGGATGAGTTCCGGCCAAGTACGTGACGAACTCGTGCCCCTGATCAATGAGCCCATCCCGCTGGCCGTCGGGATACAGCCGAGGCAGGAACCGCGGCAGCTGCTGCAGCTGCAGCTGTTGTCGCCGATCTTTGTGATACTGCTCACTGTGCGTGCGCGTCAAGCCGCATGCGCAAGCCACCTGCTGGTAGAAACCTATGTTGCGCAGCTTCTGCACGTTGTCTGTGTCCCAGGTGCCGCGGTTTGGACTGGCCAGCGTGCCCAAGAACGAGAGCGCGTGCATCTTGAGAGTGGTGCCGTGGTCCGCCGATAGAGCGTGCCACTGATCGCATGCAGCGCCGAGACCGGCGATGGCTTCGTTGCCGCGGCACATCCTAGACTTCTGCAGCATGTACGGGCAACACTGCTGCACCAGCTGGTAGCTGCGCGTGTACCCGTCCCACACGGGCTGGGCGCGGCCGCCCCACATGGTGTGGACGAAAGCCTGCTGGCACTTCCGCACGTCCTTATCTGCGGGCAGCGCGCGAGCCCACGCCCTTGAGTCATCACTGCAGAAGCGCACACCCGCCCCGTCCATAAAGTCAAGCACGGTCACCTCGTGCAGGTTCCTGCTGGCAACCTGCCTTGCAAAAAGTGCCCCAATGTGGAACTCTACGGGCCCCCGTAGGTGCGGGTGCATCACATTTGCCGGCTGTAGCCTGGATAACACAAAATGCCCAAGCGCTTGGAACGCCAGCTGCAAGCCGTCGCCTTCGCTGGGCGAAATCCCAAGCGAAGCGAGCGCATCATCGCCGGCCGAAACGCCAAGCGACAGCGTGTGCACATTACTGCGAAGGCCGCAAGCATGTAGTCCGTGCCATAGAAACTCTTCTGCGTGCTGGCCGACGAGCTGGCGCATAGTCAGGCTCGGAGGCAAGGCAGCGGCGACGCGCACATGCGCGTGCGCCTCTTGCACCAGATTCTGCGGCGTGACGTCCACATAGCTGCCGTCGTTGCCGCCCCACGATCCCTCTGCCGCCCTGGCCGTGGGTCTGAGAGGCGCCAGCACGCGAGGGCACGCGAGCACTTCCTCGGCCGAGAGCAAGGTGTCGTGGTGCACCAAGAAGTGCAAGTCCGGCACAGGAGCTGGCTCGGATACCTCCGACATCTGCGCGCGCTTTGACGCGGCTCGGAGCGCCGCACCGAAGCTTGGGAAGTCTTCGCCCCCAGGGTCCGGCGCCGGCCACAAAAGATACTCGTCCACGAAGTACGCCCACAGGTCGCACTCTTGCAAGCAAGTCTGCATGGCCGCCCACCAGCTCCGTGCGCCCTGTGTCCGCGGCAGAAACACGCAGTAGGCCGACCCCTGCCACGCTTCCGCGGCCACGTTTCGCAGCGCGCAGCAGAAGTATAAGTAGCGCTGCACCTGCATCATGACGTCCACCTCCAGCTCTCGGCAATGCGCGCCGAGGCGGCTCAGCAACTGCGCCGGCACGTACGCGCCGCCTGCGCTCCGCAGGATCGCCATCATGTGTAGGAAGATGGCGAACTGGCACCGACCGAGCCAAGACGTCTGCTGACCCACCAGACTGCTCGGGAGACCGCAGACATCCAGCATGTGGCTCTCGTGGGCATTGAGCTCGTCTCGCAGAGCGGCGTCGGCCGTGAGCCTCGCCTCGAGCGCGCCTGCCGCCTGGCCCCATGTGTCTGCAGCTGAAGAGTCCAGTAAGTACATGGCGGGCTTGTGCGATCCGCGCGCCGGAGCAAACATAGCGGATGCCGCCTGCTCGTCCTCGGACATGTCTACGTGGGCACACGCCGCGACAGCCAGAAAGTCAGCGCGGCGACGGATGGCCACCGCCCGCCGCCTGCTCTCCACTTCTATGACTTCCGGCCTGGGATGGAAGCGCACGGACCTTGCCGCCCGCTCCGGCGCGTCAGTGGACGAGGCCGGCCGAAGCGCCAAGCCACCGCCCTCCACTCTCCCGGCCATCGTCTGGGACGCACTGGGGTCGAGAAGGCCTTGCTGCAACATTGTCGCACGCACGCAGAGACACCAGCTGGCGTCCACCGGGACGTCGCGAGGGCTGCACAAGCTGCATTTCTCCGGAAGCGACTCGCAAATGCACTGGAAGCATGGCTGCCAGCTAGCCAGCAAGGAGTTCTCCGCGTTGCTCGCGGTCTGAAAAACCATCACTGCGTGCCGCTCTGCTCCGAGAGCGTGCAGCAGCTGTTGTTTGTCCGGCGTCAGCATCCTTTCGAAAAGCCACTGCAGCTGCCCGCCCCGGTTCGAAACAACACGGCGCGGGTCGCCTACATCCGCAAGGACGACATCAAGGTTACCCCGGTGGCGCAGGTGCGCCACTAGCCGTTCCTTGGCGCGGTTTACTACATTATTAGGCTGACGAAAGCGGTGCTTCGCGGCCGGCTTGCCTTCCGTGTGGGATGCTGCTGTCTCTTCGATAATGCGGCGCCCCGCCGTCCAGTCCAGCGAGATCTCGACGCGTCGCCGCGTGCTTTTGAAGACCAGCCACAACACGAAGTAGCAGCACACGGCGAGCAGCATGCTGCGATGCTTGCCGGCCCGGCACACAAACCAAATCTCCAAGGTCCTCGCTGTCCGGACATTCATCCACACGAGGACAGCCATGCAAAGAGCTGCGACCACCATGCCGAAGCTCTGGGCA